GTGTTTGAAATACATATACTATTCATTTATTCATTCCTATCTTAAATATTTAAACATTGCTTGGTGCAGCACCAACAAAGCAAAGACAAAAGAGCTATTTAGCAAACAAAAACATGCAATTAGATTATTATCAAATGCACACGGCCTCTCACATTCTAGACACAACAATCTAGAAATATTAAATTTGTACCAAATAAATATTCAAATAAATAAACATCTGCTAATTTTTATGTATAAAACTAATAATAATACAATACCAAATATCTTCAAATCGTTTTTTAATAAAATTCAACACAAATAAATGACTAAATATCCAAGTAACAACTTTGTTCAACCCAAAACTATATATGAGTTCACCAAGTTTTCAATATATATATAAAGATTGAAAAATCAATTATATATATATAAATATATATATATATATATATATATATATATATATATATATATATATATATATATATATATATATATATATATAATTGGTTTTTTGACGAGATTAAAAATTATATAGCTCTGATAACATTCATTGAGCACTCTTGCTGAATATATATATGCTCACAGCAAAATTTAACTTATAAATATATATATATATATATATATATATATATATATATATATATATATATATATATATATATATATATATATATATATATATACATATATATATATATATATATATAGTATTTATATAAATGTCTAGAAAAAACAAGAGACTTGGTCATAAGCCAAACCTAAATTCTTCTCGTCCTTGCCATTTTTATATATATTATAAAACACGGAACTTGTAAATATTTGTACGGCTAAGTAAATGAAGAAAAATATATATATATATATTTAAATTTTTTTATTTTTTAAATTTATTTAAATACCTATATAGGTGATTTTTACAATAACAATACAAAATGTAATTATCTATGTACAAACTAAAAAAAAAAAAAAAAAAACTTACCTATTAAAAACCTTATTCTGAAGTGCATAACACTATAAATAATTCAATTTTTAAAAGTGTGTAGATAGAACATGATAACTTTAATGTCCCGAAATACTAATAACATCATTATTTTTCAGCAATACATCGATTACTAATTGAATTGCATCAATGAAAATAGTACTTTTTATAAATTGATTAAGAACAACTTGCTAAGCTTCTATGATTAGAATGCTTTCCACGGTATGACGTCTACAGAGAGATTTAAGTAGCCGTGGCGCAGTGGTAGCGCACTTGCCTCAGAAACGTAAGATCCGTGGTTCAAACCCCACCTCTGGGCAAATTTTGCGACACCGGTTGGGAAGGAGGCGTGAACTTCCCATTAAATGCTCTTCCGCGGTGCTCTGTGATAAGACCGTAAGGACTTCTTGGGGCACCTTAATCAACTTAAAAAAAAAAAAAAAAAAAAAAAAGATTTCTGCAGGGTTGCTTTTAAAACTTTCAACATCCTCCTTGTAAAATCCATCTTGCCTAAGCTTTTACAGATATTTATATAAATTGTTTTTAGAATGTAATAGCCGCAAATGAAGCTTTACAGACATTTATATCAATTTTACAGACATTTATATCAATTTTCACTGCACAGTTTTTATAATATAACAGCCATAAAAGAAACGCAGTAATTCATAAAAATAGATTTTTTTCTTTTTGACAAGAACAGTAAACTAAAAAAAGATTTTATTTCCTAATCACGTACGCGTATAATCTGCTTTTGCTCTTTATATACCGGACTAATTCACCTTCAGTAAAATCTGAACATTCTTTTTTCTTTCCCGTTTTAATGACAAGTTGTCAATTAGGTGTTCTTCAAATTTTTTTCAAGTTTATTTGATGGAAATTTTCCTTTATTGATTGGAGCTTAACTGCGGTTTTTGCTAACTCAACACCACTTAATTGGTTCTCATTCTGCTTAGCTATATTTTAAATAATTTTTTTTTTCTTTTTTTACAATTAAGGTTTACAATAAATTGTATAGGCATAAATTGCCTGTCAACCTGGTCTCATATAATATTTGAAAACTATAGAAATTTTATAACTAAAATAAAATAAATGCAGATTAGTCATAGAGAAGCCATTTATTTTTTAAATGATTGTCTAGGAGCAGCTTAAATGATTTTAGTGATAAAGCGGTTACAATCTCGTTATGAGGAGAGTTCCGTTTATTAACTATTCTTAGAGAGAAAAAGTTAATGCGTAAATTTAATCGGGAAGAATATTTTTTTAGTTTATACATATGACCACGATTAATAAATTGGCTATCAATTTCAAACAGACTTTTATCACCATTGTTTTCTTTGCACCATTTATAAACGTTAATTAGATCTGCGCGAAGTAGCCTATATTTAACAGTTGTCATATTTAGCGCCAATAATCTTTGTTTATATGGTAGATTAAGTAACCCTTAAATTCTTTTTGAAGCTCTTCCTAAAATATTTTCTAATTGTCGTTTGTCTTTGTGAAGTACAGGGTTACAAACTGTCCCACAGTATTCTATGTGAGGGCGGACTAGAGCTGTAAATAGTTTTTTGAAGGATGATAAATCTGGATAAAATGTAAATGTTCTTTTTATTATTCCTATTATTTGTGTTGCTTTGTTAACTTGAATAGTTGTGTGTTTTGAAAATAATAAGTTTGAATCCATGTGAACGCCTACATCTCGTTCGCAATTTGTGGGTTTAATGTTTACTCTTATATTTTGTTCTGGATCATGCATATTATAAGTATGGGATTTGTTGTTGTGTCCTAAGTGTATTACAGAACATTTATTAATGTTAAACTTCATTCTCCATTTTTGAGACCATAATACAAGAGCGTCAATGTCATTTTGTAATTCTTGCGCAGATTGGGTACTTTAAATAAATCGGAAGATTTTGATATCATTAGTAAAAAGAGTAGCTTTTGATTTGATTAATTCAGGGATATCATTGACATATATAATAAAGAGTAACGCTGAAAGGACAGAGCCTCGGGAAACTCCACTTTTAACAGAAACCCAGTTCGTTTATAACCGTTTATAACAACTCTTTGTCTACGGTTTTCCAAAAAGTTTGTTATCCAATATAGTATTGAACCATTTACACCATAAGCTTTAAGTTTAGAAATAAGAAATTTATGTGGAACTATGTCAAAGGCTTTTTCAAAATCGAGATAAATGTTGTCGATGGGAATATTCTTATCAAGTGATAATGTCCAATAATTAATTACAGTTAAAAGGTTAGTTAAGCAGGAATGACCTGGACGAAATCCAGATCATTCCTGCTTAACTAACTTATTCATATCTCTTAGAGAATAAAATCTTGATTAATGATGGATTCACACCAAGATTAAAAATCGAGCACGTTACTTTGTCGGCTTACATATATTATTGATTTTAAAATGGTATTTTTTTTTATCAATTTTTTAAAAATTTACATATTTGCGTAACTATAAACTCAAAAAAGAAAAAAAGTTATATTTTGCAATCGTTTTGGTCTAAAGACACCCCTAGCCATTGTCGAACATTTCAGTACTCCCCCCCCTTCCTTTATTTACTGATATCATTAAAAATGGCCCTTATCAAGATGTTGTGAAGATTAAACTCAATTCCGACCACGTTATTTAATTAAAAAACCATTAAATAAAATTTCTTAAACTTTACTAAGTTGTATAAATTTAGATTTCATTACAGAAAATAAAAAAAACCATTAATACCTAAAAGCACAGCATATAACTGAAAAATATACTTTATGAAAAAGAAGAACTATCATTGGAATTAAAGGCAGAATATTCATTTTTAACTCTAAGAAAGTGAATTCAGGTAACTTATTAAATCAAAAAAAATAAAGTTTAATTTGACTAGCAATGAGGATTGTTAGCATAGCTTTGTGTGAGGAATGATTATTTAAAGGATAAACGAAAAGAGCATCTAAAAGTCGCGTATTTAATCTAGCATCCCGAGATCCTTAACGACAAAAAAAAAAAAACACAAACATTATTTTATTAAATTATTCAGAAATTTAATAAGATCCTCCTGTCATCAAAAGATGAGATTGAGAGGATCTTAAACACTTAAAATTCTAGGTTAGGGTTTCTTTACCATAATCTAGAATTCTGTCTAAAAGTTACAAACTTTTTTTAAAATCCCGTACATTTATGAGCTAAAAAAACGGGAGCGGAAAAAAAAGAAAAATAACTATAAATTTTTTTTAATTTTAAATTGCTTACTTATTTAAAAAAATTTATTTAAACTTATTTTAAAAAATAATAAATAAATTCATACTAGGAAATTTGAAAATTCAGGAATTTTAAAGATTAATAGTATCCGGATTATTTGAGAATTAATTACCATGTAATACAGGTTTCTTGAGAATTAATACCATGTAATACAGGTTTCTTGAGAATACTAGAAATAATCCAAGATTTTTAAGGGCACTGATTCAAAATCAAAAAATTCATGATTTGTTGATAGAACCTGAAACATTTTACTAGCAAAACGTGTAAAGACTGGTATCTAGTTAAATGGTGATTGTGCTTTATTTGCAAAATCATCTAATGATTGTAAAGATTGTTAAACCAAAAAACGGAGGAAATAAACAACACATTTACATTTTTTCTTACACCATTTCATACTTTCTTTACTAAAAAATGAATATATGAAATGGAAAGTCAAGAACAAAATAGTGTTTTAAAATTACGTTCTAAAATCTTACGATAAACGTATGCTACCAAAAAATATATATCACTAAATAAATACATTACACTTTAGGTTTCAATTGCAACTTGATAGAAATATCACAATATATATATATATATATATATATATATATATATATATATATATATATATATATATATATATATATATATATATATATGATTTACATTTGCAAGAAAATCTTTTTACTCTCAATATAATTATTGCGTGTAGAACTATTGCATCATTGCGTATAGCATTGCAATGATGCTTCGGACGTTAGTATTAGCAACAAGTGGTTGTTGACTAAAAATACAAAAACAACTATTGACATAAAATCCGAGAATATAAACATTTTATTGCAACATTTGGGTATCAGACCTTCTCTTGAAACAAGTATAAGTTATTTGTAGCTGCCAAAGCAATAATGTTATCGTTTGGATGCCAAGCCATATGCAAAATTTTCCGACTAAAGTCTAAACATTCTACGCTAATTTCTTCTTTTTTGCGCTTGCCAGTTGTCGTTATTTTTTTTGCTTTTAGAAGTTGTTTTGGCCTCATATTTTCTCTTGTAGCTTCGAGACAAACACCTGATTTTTGCTCTCGGTTAAAAATTCGAAAGAAGTTATTGTATGAGCCTGTCATGATGGATCTTGAAAATAAAAAATACTTTAATCTTCACTATTGATAAAATATCTGTGATAAAATAAACTTTAACAGCTTCATATAAATGTAGTGTAACAGTTACTCATATAACTATTTTAAACTATTAACTTAATTTCAGAAACAAAAAATAAATTTTAGATGTAAGCAATTCAAAACATTAATAAAGATAACCAAAAACTTACGTATCATCTCCGCTCCAACAACATTCATACTTGTCAAAAATACAATCATTTTCGTACAGTGCACACAATTTGCTACGTAGATACTCATGTACCTGGTAAGTTTCAACTGGTTTTCTTTCCATTTGCAAATCCCATACCTTTACGGTGAGATAATCTCTAGTCAACATATAGCGACCGTTGTGACTAAACTTGACATCAGCAATAGAAGAAATCAGTTCAGAAAAAAATGAACGATTGCTTGGATCTTCCGGCTCTTCAAATACTAAACAATCAACATAATGTAAACATTTAAAAAAAGTAAATTAAACAATAAATAGGTAGATATAAATAAATTAAAACGATAATTTTTTTTATTCAATTGTTCGATTGTTAATTAGTTCCACATGAAAGAATTTATAAAGATGTTACGTTTTGAATATTTATCACATAAAGCACTGTCTCTCATGTCACACAATCGAGCTGTTCCTTTACTGCTGCTGTATACAAATATATTGCAAGAATCTGGATGAAACTCAGCTGAGGTGATTACTTCTGTCAATTCTTCCATGTTTGCTGGTTTTATATCAACAATATCTTAAAGAGTCAAGGTTTAATCTGAGAAATAAAAATAAAAATTTCCCACGCAAATAATTGACAATATATTTATTAAAACAGTTAACTTGAGTTACTCTTTACATAAAGTTACCCTTTTGTAGAATTGTTTGATTTTAATTCTTTTAAGTATAATTCCCACGCATACAAATAATTGACAGCATATTTACTACTGGGTAGAGGTTGTAATATATTGTTACATATTATGTCATGAATTGTGTGTGTGTGTTTGAAACTTACTATTGTTTTTAAAACATCGTTTTCTCTAAGTAAAAATAAATTTTAAAGTATTTTGTAATCTTGTTAATATATATAATTTGATGAGACATGTATATGTTGGAGAAGTAAAAAGCAGGATATCCTAGTTTTTTTTTTGAAAAAAAAAAAAAAAAAAATAACAAACCACTTTACTGTGGTCATTTGTAGCCACAGTAAAATTGTATATACTACACTAACACACGCCAACAAGTCTAATTCACTTTTAATCAATTGTCTACAGAGAATGGAAAAGGTCTCCCATTACGGGATAGAAAAAAGATACTAAAACCAACGAACAATTTTCTAGCCTTATTGTCCCAACTTCCTTCTCATTTTTGTAGAAGAAGTAGAAGTATTACCTATAATTAGAAATACAATTTAAAATTCAAGCATAGAAAGCGTACAATGAATATGCACAAGAGACAAGGGAGAAAGAACTGTTTTTAATTAAATATAATAAGTTTAATTGAAATCCTAAATTTAATCACTAGAAAAAAAGCATAGTACAATAACCAAAAGAAAACCCTATCAAATAAACCCATTGCATCAAATAATAAGAGTTGGCCGGAGAATAAAGAAAGTAGGTTAAATAAAAAAAATAAAAAAAAGTATTGTTGTATATGTATAAACATAATGACTAATTTAAATGCTTGATTAACTGTGACGTATTTTAAGCTCAAACTTTTGTCTTTATAACTTTTTGGTTTACAAAAAGAGCAACATATAAGTGGTTCGATAAGAATAATAATATGTTAATGTAAGAAAAAAAAATTGCTAATTTTGCTAGCTCATTTTCCACTTGGTACCCGATATTCGAGAGATATAATGAAAAAAGATGAACTTGTAATGATTAGACACGCACAATTGAGTATATAATAAGAAAAAATTTATTAGAATCTCAGTATTTACTTTATTGGTCTGCAACAACAACAAAAAAAGAATATTCAACAAAACTAAGAGTATGTGTATTGGGCTAGCCATAATTTAAATTATTAAGCCATAATTTGAAACAAAATAACAAAAGAATAAGATAAGTAACAAGTTTGTCTGCAACAACTTTTTCAACCGAACGAAGTTTACTTTGTTTTGAAAAAAAAGAATAAAAAGAACTAAAATCTGTAACAATAAATGTCAGGAGTACATACCAACATTTAGAAACCAAAACTGTGTTTTAGCTAATAGATTGCAACATCTAACTGTACAAAGAAATATCTACATTACACAAAAATATTTAACTAACCAAGTTAAATATTTTTGTGTAATGTAGATATCCAAGGGCTGTGGATTTCTTTCTGTGAACTTCTCGGTATTGCACATGCATGTACAAAACATTCAATTAACCTTATGTTTATATTACACCTCAAAGAAAGTTTCATAAATTTGTCAAAAAAAAAAATCTTTAACTTATCGCGTAATATTTTTTAAAGAATTTAAAGAATTCTTCAAAAATTTTGCTTCGGAGTTGTAGTCGGAGTTGGAGTACTGAAACATTGTGTATTTCAACAACTGGAGTCGGAGTTGTACTCAAAAAATTTCAACAATTGGAGTCGGAGTCGTTACTTTTTTTTTACAACTCCGCACCCCTGGTTTTTGATACTAAATTTAAGCATACAAAATCTTTCTATTCAATTTGTTACCATAACCAAAGAATCAAGTATCTACAAATCAGCAATATTAGATCATATTTTTTTAAAGAACTTTAACATTAAACATCAAACAATAAAACCTAGTAGAAAACCAGATGATGCTAAGGTAATAAATATATGATCCAGAAGGTATTATTAAATATAAATCTAATTGAACTGACAATTTTAAAGATTTGCAGCAAAACAGCATGATCTTTTGTCAAATCCCATAATCTCTATTTTTGACTACAGTCAAAAATAAGGATTATGGGTTCAAAAATAAGGATTATGGATCTAATTATAGGTAGTAATAATAATAATTGTATCTCAGGATTATGCATTTACTTAATTGTTTAAGAAACCATAAAAATTTCAAGATTTTAACAGCAAACTGCAACTGTATTTATTATAACATACAAACAGGTAACCAGTCAAAAAAAAAAATAAAAAATAAAAAAATAAAAAAAATAATAAAAAATATAAAATCTTTGTATTTTATCAAAATAAAACAAACGTGAAAAGATACTGAAACTTTGGTCTGTACGCTGTAAATTCCATAGATTAATTCTTAAGTCATCAGCAGATAAATAAGTTTCATCATCACTATTTATAGATATAGAATTAACATGATAAGTATGCGCATTAGAATATATTTTACGAGGACTTGCTTCAACCATTAAAGGAGTAGGTTGAAGTTCTGGTATCCTTAACTTCTGAATTTCTCCAGCTGTAAGTTCTTGAGTTCCATCTAAAGTCTTGGTATTTAAAGGTCCATCAATTCTCATATTTCTCTCAGAAATTTTCCATAATTTAACAGTTTTGTCTACAAAACAATTAAGAACTTAAAAGTTACATTAAAAAAAAAAATGAACCTAAAACCATGAACAAATATTATATTTCTATTATATTTTTTATCATTTTGTTATAAATACTAAATTTCTGAGTTAAAAAAATTATTACTACTTGTTTATCAGATTTCATTTTTTAAAGTTTGTGTAGTTGGATTAATTTATTTTGTATTTTATTATTATTATTCTTCTGTGCCTGACACAAAAACAAAAAAAGTTGCATAAAGAAAAGGATAAGAGAAAATAGTAATTTTGAAACCTGACAAAAAATTAAATAAAATTTTTTCATATATTTAATTACAATTTGTGAAAAGTAAAAAATTACCATTGGTGGAAAGTAAAAAATGTGCCCGATTTCTTCGTTTTAACCATCTAATTCTATTAATTTTTTCATCTATGTCTAAACTTTTTAAATAATCAAACTCAGGTTCGTGACTTTGAAATGTGCTATATACATTATATTCGCCATAACGAGGAGAACTTTTAGGCTGTAAGATAAATAACAATTATATCAAAACTAATTTATCAATATAATCTGTTTCATATTAATACTTACCATAATTATATTATTATTATATTTTATGGTGATATATTGTTTTAAATTATAGTTTGTTACAGGTACTGATATGACAGCAGCAGTTAGTAAATATTACTTTAAGCATATAAAATGAAAAACAAATAGAAAGTTTTGTTACTATAGTAATACTATTAACAATTCTGTATATAAAATAAAAAGCAAAAAACAACAGCTGCGTACAAACTTAATTTTTCTTCATAGAAAGAAAAATTTAAATTGTAAGCAACTGCTGTGTTACGCTTTATATATATATATATATATATATATATATATATATATATATATATATATATACATATACACATATACATATATAATTATATAGGCCTTAAAAAAAATTATACTTTTACTTTTAAATTATATAACGGTATAATTTAAAAGTAAAAGTATAATTTTTTCTCTCAAAAGTTCTAAAGAATTTAGAGGAGCAGCTCGCATAGCTTGCCATGTTCGTTTTAGGAGAGCTTTTCACCGCTCTTGCACTCATTTCTTCCCACCGAGGCCTGTGTGTGTGTGTGTGTATATATATATATATATATATATATATATATATATATATATATATATATATATATAGAGAGAGAGAGAGAGAGAGAGAGAAATGAAAAACCTAACAAGAGCAGGATATACCTAAACTAATCTAGTAGAACAGTTCAGAAGATTCAAACCAAGAATACATTTGTTATAAAAATAAGCTACATATACCTGTGTTATTCGTGTCGTGTTTTTTCTATTCAGCCTAATAATTGTAACTGAGGTTTGTGTCAAGTGTGAGTTACTAATTTTATATTACTATTTTATAAATTTTCAAATAATTTTGATTCAGTTTATTAAATTCATTAAAATTGTGGTATCTAAATAACTTGTACAACTAAAACAATTAGATGATACAAACTAAAAAATAAGAGTTTCAAAGTTTAACTAAAATATAAATATGCTTTCATAAAAATTTATGCATAAATGCAATATTGGTAAACCCATTTCCATTATTTATTTACTAAAAGCTTTACTGCCTGAAATGAATAGTTGCACAACTTTTTTTTTTGTATAAATCAATTCAGTTAGATATTAGTTACATTGAAGTAATGAAAGAGTTTGATAATTTAAGACATTTTAATACTTATCAAGGTTATCATAAATATATTAACTACACAGTACTTCACGATTTCTTATGAATAAGTTCTCACTTTGACAATTAGTAACTTTTGTGGAAATAAAATTCATTCATTTTCATTGACTGATTTTAAATTCCTTATATACTTTCTTGAAGAAAAAAGCTTTTATTTAATGCTGATATGACAAAGTTATTGTTTTTAGTTGTTTTCCGTAGATTATAATAAAACGCGATAAAATAATACCAAATCTGTGCCAAATATAAATATATTATAGATTAAGCTAAATATTTAAAGAAAAATAAAAACAGTTGAAAACTAAACCCCAAAACTAAACACAACTGAGAACCCTCAGTCAAAGCAGGAATGTAATACTACAAGTATCTTATTGCCAGACAATTTATACTTTTTTTATTTTATTAAGGTTGTTATGGAGACATAAAAATCAACAAAAAAATTTTTTTTTCTACAATAAATGTTATTTGTATTTAGATAGTAGTTACTCTAACAAAAACCTTAATTTTATTAGGTAAACCTTCCTCTACCACTCTCTTCTCTCAAAATTATCATACAAACTTGCAGGCAGGAAGTTTTACATTACTAAACACTGGGTATAATAATAACACAACATACTTTCCTTTAGTTCGCTAATATAAATGAAAACTTTGTCAACTGTAACTTCTTAAAATAAGCTACATTTTAAATGTACATCTAAATAATTTAAATTCTACAAATAAAAACGTGCTTATAATTAAGCAATAAATTAATACCTTAAAGGAATCTCTTGGGATACTTGGATGCAAAATGAAATGACCAGGATTTGTCTTGACAGACATGTTAAAATTGAATTTTTGCACTAAGGGCGCTAACCTAACTAAATATAGCGTAGAGTAATTGATGAACGATAACCTATACTGTTTTAATTATTTGATGGCAAAAAAATATTTTTATTTAAAAAATGTTTTAAAAACCAATTTTAATCTACCCTAAAAAGAATTCTGGTGTTCAAGCGTTTCATTTTAACTTTGGTGTAGGTGTAGCTTGTTCAGTGTAACACATACCAACTTAATTAGTTATTTAAGTATTTTTTTGGGTAATAAAACCAATGTTTTAAATATGAATTGTTCGATTTGTAAAAATTGTAGATTTAATTTTCATGTAAGTTTTCATTTGCACATTTTAATTTAAAATCTTTTATTAAAATATTTTCCGTGTGATAGCTTTAGATTCAATAAAACTAGTAAAAACACATAAAAATTGTATTAAATAGTATATTTACAGCATTATCTTTTTGAAATATGACAATTCTTCCCCCTTTATCTCCAGTTGCCAAAAGTTCACCATCATGGTTAAATTCTACTGTTGATATGATATCAGCTAAACAAACAATTATATTTAAACTAAAAGAAATTTAAAAATTACTCAAAACATATTTTTTATTAGACAAATGATTTTACATATTTGGTTTGTTTTATTTTATGTAAACCTTATGATCATTTATAATCAAAAATGTTAAAACAGTTTCCTCTGTATAAGAAAATTATTCTACTTTAACAAAATATTTTTTTAAACAAAGTAAATAGTTTAATGTCTGAAAGTAAAATAAATCAAATGGATCAAATCACCATTACTAGCTGTTGGAATTGCACAACTTAGACTAGCTAGTAGAGTTAAAAACTTTGCTATTGTATTTGTTCACTAAAAATGTGTAAATTGCAGAAATAGTAAATGTGTGGCAGGTAATCAGAGAACATCTCCTTACTTCATTAAACAATAAAAAAAAAAAAAAAAACCTACTGAAAACATTTCCTGTTTTTGCTTTGATATTAAATGTATAGACATGTTATTGCATTTTGTTTCTTTAATTATTTTTTGTTTATAAATTTTCTTATTTTAGATCTACAATAACATGGATTATAATAATAAGAGATTATAATAAAAATATTAAAAAAATATTTAAAAACTTTTATGACACGTAGGCATTAGTATATACATGCCTCTGTGGAAAGCAAGAGTTTTAGCTCTCGCTCTCGCCCACACTCCCCTGTGATTTAGGAGAGCAATTTATGACTCTAAATGTATATTTTTTTCATAATTTTTTTTTCTATCTTTCTATTAATAAAACTAAAAACTCTAGTACAAACTACACTGTAAATTGATTTTTTTAAATTCTGCTCCAACTCACATATATAATATGAAATTATTATGCACTAAGTTATTGTGTTATAATTTTTATATTATGTAATGAATTATATATTTTATATACTAATTATTATAATGATTAAATAAATTATATAAATTTGTACTAATTATTATAATGATTAAATAAATTATATAAATTTATGAATTATATATTTATATTATAATGAAATATATATTAATTTTATATACTAATTATTATAATGATTAAATAAATTATATAAATTTGTCTCAATTTAAGCAAAATAATAATAAAAAAAATGGTCTGCTAAAAAATTGGAACTATATAAACATATAATATAAACTGCTCGGATCACTCAATGCGCAAACGCTTGAATCGATTCTCCATTGCCACGATAAGTTTCCCCAAATTTGTACCATGAGCTTAACGATGATTTCCTCATTTCCAACGTTTCTAGTTTTGTCGCTAACTCTTCGTACGAAGCGTCCTCTGGCAGTTTAGGTGCTGTTAATTCCTTCATGGTCTTGTAAATCTTCGACGGCAGAGTAGCAAGCTAATACGATATGTGTCGATCTGAAGTAATATTGTTCATCACGAAAAAAGAAGTTAACTGCAGAATAAATTGCTTTGGCTGTCCATCTTCATATTGCGGAGATATAATACACGTCCAGTTAGCTTATTGTTCGATGCATTTAGAAGACATTTTGTTTTAAATGTTTTTATTACTTATCAACAATCTCAACATTTTTACAAAAAAAAATTATTGTCAATAATTAACAAAGCTAATTATTGACAAATCGATGCACATTAAAATCACAACACTTTTATTGTAGAATCTTTTGTTGTTGTAATAATTCTCTGCGTTTTATTACAGTACGAAAATATAAAATATATTTTATAAACAGTAAAAACTTATATAGCTTCTTGTTTATTAAATTTTCCATTAAATGAATAAATGGATAGCTAGAGTGAAAACCCAAAGAAAATGCTTTTCTAAAAAATTTTCACTGGGTGATAAACGACACTTGTTATGTATGTAGTCTTGTAATATTAAGGTTACAAGCATATGCTTGTAAGAAGTAAAAAAAGCAACTTTTAAAATGAATAAGCAGATAGCTCACGCTAAAATTTATTATTAGCTGTACAAAAAAAATCAAGTTATGTAGATAAAATGAAAAAAATTTTTAACTTTTATAAAACTAATTTTTTAATCAAAATATTGGAATAATCAAAAATCAAGCTACAGAAGAAAACCTTTTCTATTGTTTTAATAAAATGTAAATAAATGAAATGTAAAAAAATAAAAATAATAATAATCTAAGCATTATAATCTAGCAAGGATGTGAATATTTATATAGAAAATGTTAGTTTTAAAAGTTACATTAGTTCATGTATTGGAAATATAGCAACATTACATTGAAAAAACTTAGCTTGACACTTAAAAGTTAAGTTTTTTGGAATTTTGATTCTGTTACAAGACAGATGCAGACGCTCATTAAAGCATGTATAAAAAAAAAAAAATTACTTGTTTTTTTTTCCTCAAAACGTTTTAAGTTTTTTGTTTATTACTTGCTGACTTTTTATAAATAAAAAATAATTTTTATTTGCAAAACTGTTTGCAAATAAAAATTATTTTTTATTTTTAAAAAACCAGCAAGTAATAAAATATGTTTGCTGATTTTTACACCACTCAAAGACTTTAATAAGTTATGAATATTAACAAAACTTTATTATTTAATTCCAAATGGTTTCAATAACTTTGCATTGAACCAACAAAAATCCGTCTATTTAAAAAATGGTTTTGGTCATTTATTCTGCTCTGTGAGCAATGGAAAGCTGAAAATCTGTACACTTACATATTTTGAGGCAAGGAATCCAATAAAACAACTTGAAATATATAAAAATATGCATAACGTAATTTTGATCTTTGTCACAATTTTTTGGGGAGTGAGTTTAATTTAAAAAGTAGCTCGATTTTTTTTTTAGAGATCATCCTGTATAGTTTAGTTAGAGTTATTACAAAGAATTGGTAAGTGGTCTTTTCTTAAACAGAGAAAAAAAAAACATGGTCAAATTTACTTAAATTTGTTACTAAAAAATAGGTATTATGAAAAATCAAAAGAAAAAAAAGATGGTACACACAGGTCAGAAATTGACCTTTTAGGTTTGATCTTATAACACCCCAAAAATTTTTATAGATTCTATTTAAGAAACCTTTAGGTTACACAAAACTGTAAAAATTAAAATCCTGCAGCTGACACATTTTTAGAAAAAGCATTTAAAGGGGGCGGGCCTATGAAATTATCATGTTTAAGTGAAGAAACTTCCAGAAATGCTTTAAATCTTTACATACTAATACTAATATCAAATGATTAAAAAAAAAAAATTGTTTTGGGAACATAGAAAATACAACAAATTCGGAGCACCGACCCCAAATATGACAAATAAAAAAATTTGAAAATTTTTTTGTACAACCTTATAGTAAATAAAATTTTATTCAAAGAATTCAAATTAAAAAAAAATACTCTACAGTTTAAAAGTTATGACCAAAAAACGTTTTATTCCCCTCTCCCTTCCAAAAAAATGAAGAGGTTTTATATTTTACATGACCATAACTTCTGAAGTACATATGATTGTTTTAAGAAACTTGAAATTTCATAATAAATTTCGATTTGGTTTAAGAAATTATAAAAATATTTTTCAAATGCAAATGTCCCCTACTCAATCAGGGCAGGTGGCCTCAAATTTTTTTTTTTTTTTTTTTGTTCTCAGACTTTAAAAGGATTTTAAACTCCCAACACATGTTGTGTTCATATTAAAGATAATGTTAAAAAAAAGGTTTGAACCAAGTTTTTTTGATTAAAAATAAATAAAGACTGAATACCGAAAAAAAACTAATGTTATTGTTTTAGCCGGAGTTCGCCTTCTCCATTTTCTTCAAAAACTTGGAGCCTTTAAATTATATGTCGCAATCTACAGACTTTAGCGATTCCTTTGAAGCTCGTTAAATTCATAAAAGTTCTATTATTTGACGTCATGGTAGACTTTTAACAAATGAAACTCTGGAAATATTTTTATTTATTTTTATTCGAAATTTTTTTGATTATTTGTTTAGTTTTTTTTCTTTTTTCTATTTTTAACATTTAAAAAGATATTAAAAACCTCAAATATTTTATGCTGGTTTGTTGCTATAAATTGTTATTGCGCCATATATTTAATGTTTATAAATTATAAATATTTATTATCTCAATCAAGACTCTGATAAAAAATTGTTTTACATTAATTACCTGTATAAAATTAGTAACAGCATTTTTATTTGGTTAGGCAATATTTTGTTTTAATTTGCTTTGGATGAAGTTCGGAAAATCAAACGAAAAAAATTAATTTGAATAATCACGTAGAAATATATTTAAAACAAATTATTTTAATGATGGGGGTTCTAATGTTTTTTATAACAAATGTAGGTAAAAAATAAATAACTAAATAAAAGGTTCAACATTAAACATCATTTCTTTATTATATTGCAACAGTAAATATTGAAATATTAACTTGAACTAAATTTACTTAATATTTAGAACAACTAAGCAATAAAAATTAAATGCCCCTAAAATTATGCGATATTGTGTTGTTTATTTGATAATTGTTGGTAATGTTGTTTATGTTGATTATTTTCATTAATATCAAAATAGTCCCAGTTAGTTACTTTGCTCGTTGTTGATTTATTTCTAATTTAATTTTATCTCAAAGTATAATTATATGTTAAGAAAGAAAGTTTTTATTCTATCACACGCTCTTTTTATAAAAGAGTAGAGCAAAAAAGTTTTGCATAATTAAACTTTGAATGAATAAGAGTTGTATAGAATATTTTTTTTTTTTGCGTCACACGTTCTTTTTTTAGATGAGAGAAATAAAAGTTTAATTGCAACTTTTTTTTTGAATAAATGAGAATTGGAAGAGAAAATTGCTTGCAAATTTGTATTTTTAATTTTTGTATTGTATAATTATGTTTTGAAATTTTTTTAATTTTTAATGCTAAGAGACAAATGCCAAATACGACACAAATTGGGAAATACCAAATATAATAAGTTTTTTAACGCGCGTTATGACATTTAAATTACCATCTATCTTAAATTATTGCCATTAATTAATGTGTTAATTATTGCGTTTTATATATAAAATACGGATAAATTATTTAATAATAATTTGTCCGTATTTT